AGCTGCAGTTGTCGGCCACATAGATTCCAATGAATCGATCGTGGAATTTATTGGTGAGTGACACTTAAGTTTTTTTAGAATTTTATGGTATGCAGCAATTATTATATATGTTGCAATTAGAGTTACATTTTGTTCAGATTTAGCCACACCAGGTACCTCAGAAGTTAGCATGTGTATGGCACCTGGAGAGACCTCTGGATCTCAAGGTAATTCTATTATCAGTAATCTTTACATATTCTCAGTTAATAATGTTATAATTACAGTTAATACTATATATGTATAAATATTCAAGTTTTTTAAGATAAGGTTTCAACAAGTAAAAAGTCTCAAAGAAACCGAAGTTTTCCACGGGTCAGTTAAAATAAGTCACACGATTTTACTCACAATGGTCGATGGAAAGGTTTGTAATGCTGCGACAGATACAGCATCGACCATGAGATGCTATTTATGTGGCCAAACGTCAAAAGACTTTAACAAATTAAGGAAAGTTGATGTTTCTAAAGAAGCACTGAAATTTGGACTTTCCATTCTGCATGCGAGGATTCGTTTCTTTGAACTGTTTTTACACTTGGCATACAAAATACCCATAAAGAAGTGGCAAGCCCGAACAGCTGAAGACAAAAATAGTATTAAAAAAACTAAAACGGAAATTCAAAAAAGATTTAGAGAAGAGATGGGTCTCCTGGTCGACATACCCAAAGCTGGCTACGGGAACAGCAACGATGGGAATACATCAAGAAGATTCTTCGAAAATCCTGAGTGCTCTTCTCGTATCACTGGAATAAATATCGAGTTGATAAAAAAGTTTAAAGTTATTCTAGAAGTTATATCAAGCGTTTACGATATCGATCCAGTTAAATATGAAAATTATGCTCAAGAAACTGCCCAACTATATGTTGAACTGTATGGTTGGCATCCGATGTCCCCTACAGTTCACAAGATTTTAATGCATGGCGCTCAAGTTATATCAAAAGCTATACTTCCTATCGGACAGTTGTCAGAGGAAGCTGCTGAAGCACGAAATAAACATTTCCGCAAATATCACGTAGACTTTGCGAGAAAATTTTGTAGAATAGACTGCAACAGAGACATCCTGAATAGATTATTATTAACATCTGATCCTTTGATCAGCTGTAACAGAATTAAATTAAAGAAGAAAAGAAAGCCTTTTCCCAAGGAAGCTATGACTATTTTAGTGCCAACACCACCAAACTATGAGTGCACTGACGACGAAGACGATGAGAATGACATAACCACTGTACACGAAAGTGGTGATTCTGATTAAATGTTCTGTCAATGTCGTATCTGTTAGTGTGTAAATCTTTAAATGTGTTTTTTTTCGTAATATATACCTAATTTTGATGAATTATTGTCTTTTATTTCATAAAAAAGTAAAATAATACAATCAATAATTTTGTCCGGTTTTTTATTTGAAATACCTCTATGTGCGACGTCAGCAGGCTTCTATTGATGTTGCAGATAAAATAAGTGCTGCGATGGAAAAAAAAATGAGATTAAACAAAAATTTTATACTGATTTTCTTAAATTAATGGTCCAGCAAACTGAGGCTTTGGCTAGCATAGCCAGATCTATGCATGTAAGATCATCACCCTATATATAAATAAATAATAATTTTTATAAGGGTGATGATTTTATCTGCATAGACCAGTTAATAATCAAAAGACAATTATTGATTTAATAATAAAAGACTGATTTTACCTAGTCTGATTAATGTACACAATTAGTGATTGTTTATTATTTACATAATTCTGCGATATTGATTGTTATGTAGTTGTAAAGTTTATTTCTAAGATTATTATTATTACTGCACTGTGATTTTATAATTAGTCTGTTTATAAGTCTGCCTTTACATTATGTACATGTACACAAATTATTGTTTATTATTTACATTCTGCCATATTGATTGTGTAGATGTAAAGTTTATTTCTAAGATTATTATTGTTTAAGCGCTGAACTGTGATTTTATAATTAGTCCGACTTTATATTGAAAAAGTGTGTCACTGAGGTCAAGAAATTTGTCAGACTTAGTTAGATACTTCAACGAGTTTGTGCTACATTGTTTTACAAAGTGTAACAACTAGTAATGTATAATATATATTTTTTATTGAATATTGTTTACCATGTTTTTTTTTTAATTTAGTAATGTGCTTATATTAAGGTAATAAATAAAACAATTTATAAATATTTTGTAACACTTTATTAAGAGTTAAGAAAAGTAATTATTAATTATATTTCGTTGTTTATTTCTGCCTAAATTTAAATAAACATTGCCTCCTGTTGTGGGAGGTCTATATGCCTAACTCACTCTCTTCAAGCATATCAGTAAGTTGAAAATTGTGGGCTATACATAAATTGTGTAATACACAGCAGGCGTTAATTATTTTGGTAGCCTTATTAGGCGTGTAATGTAACACTCTGTCCTTCAAAAGACACCTGAATCGTCCCTTTAGCACTCCATTACAACGCTCTATAGTTGATCGCGTTTTCTGAAGTGCTTCATTGTATAGAAATGTAGGCGTATTCTCATCGTCATCCTCCTCCAAGTTCAATATGGGTGTTAGACACCATGGCCTCAAGGGATAACCACTATCACCTGAAAATATATTATTGCATTTGTAATGAAGCCTAGCAGTATAATAGTTGATAAAAATATGTATAATTAGTATGTATAGAACAAAACCTGTACTACAACTTTCTTATTTTACCAAGTTTTGAGATAAATTTGATAAGATAGTAGTATAGTGCATACCCAATAAGTGATAGTTTGTATATCCAGCATTATGGAGATTTTGTAGTACAGGCAATACTGTAGAGTTGCTCCAGATATAAGAATCGTGTGTACTGCCTGGGAATAGAGCATTCACATTCAAAATTTTCAATTTGGAATCACAAATCTGTAAAGTTAAAATTTGAAGTATAAAGCGGCTACATCAGTTTGATTAAGTATAATATTTTTTAACTTCATGGATATCAAATTATTAAGTCTACACAGTTATGAAAATTAGATGAGTGCTTGGATATTAAACACAAATATGTATAAATGTCTTACTCTAAGGCTATTGTTTGAAGCTCTTGCAACATTCTTGGAAATCTCACCCATTCATGAAAAATGTTTGAATGGTTTAATGCTTCCACAACATCACTTATGCAACGGGAGGTTGTTGCCTGGGACACATTTATTTTAAGTTCCCAGTTGGAGTTTGATAACTCCCTGTACCCAAGAAATGTAAAGTGCATAGGATCTGAAATAATATAACCAAGTGTTAGGTAGGAAGGTAAATGATTAAGTTCTGTATTTTAAAATAAAAATAGCTAAGTTTTATAAAAATACCAATTAGTACCTATAATAAAATCGGTTAAGTATAATGTGCACTCCATTAATACAGATAAGTACTTTTTTGCACTCTAGAAATTCTATTGTACACCAAAGATTGTGGTACCATTCTCAAATAAGTAATTTAGGTATTTTAGATTGTGTGCAATTAGTATTTTTGGTCTGTAAGGTTACTTTATGGAATACTTATAGACTAATAAAATTATGAAGCAGAATTATTTACCTTCGTTTTTAGGTCTATTTTTGTGGTATCCTGAATTACAGGAGCCAATAGACCTACTATTAAAACTCTGATTAAATTTTGATTTAATCTAAAGTTTTTAAGAACTTCGCTATCGTTCAAGTCGTAAATATCGACGACGGGATAAGTGCTGTTGCCGCCGTGTATTGGCCAGTCGCTCGCCACTCTCGCAACTCGTCCATGTTTCAAGTTTCAAGTCCAATCGTGGGTACACAAATTAAAGACTGTTATTTACGCGAAGGTCGTCGTTTGAAGAAAACACAATACACAAATTGAAGAGTCTATACTGAATTTCCAATGTTCATACTTATAAGATGCCAAGCCGTATTTTACTTTAAAACGAAAGAAAAGAAAACACTGTACAATTCGAAACTCAACGAATTCACAGAAATGGCGTATCTCAGTATCTCTACAATCGACATGCCATCTCTACTGCTCAGAAGCACTCGACATGAACTCTAACGTTAGCCTTCGACAAATAAATGTCGCATTCGACATCTCCAGAATAGCAACTTTTAAAATTTGACGAAAAAATGACGTCATTAGACATTTTTGTCGAGTTCGATATCATCTCTAAAGCCGAGAATTGGCCCCCAAGTTCGGATAGCTACACCCCAAAATTTACATTATAATACCGGTATTGAATTGGTACAGGTGATAACACAATTGTTGTTTCGATATATTTATAGGTCATTTATTTTTCTACACCTACTTTTTTAATGTATTTGACTATGACAGAAAGTAGATCGTCGGCCTAATTCGTTAACCTGCTAAATCCATTTTTGGCTGTTTTTTTTTTTAGTCCAGATAAAAGTTCAATCTAATATCTACCGTAATGTAAAGCAATAATAGTGATATTAGCTAAAAATTCTGAGAAATCCTATGCTCGAAAAACTGCTTTCTGACCACCCGTCAATCTCCACAACGCAAACCTGTTAAATCCTGTTGGGGCCTCAGTTTTGTACTAACATCGTTACCAGACTCACGTGCCGTTTGCGACGCGTAAAACTTATGGTGTTTTAGGCGAATATATAAGGATGTAAACAACGAATTATATACCTAATTATACACTAGGTAAGTTTATATTGTTTTATCTGTAAGTTTTTGTTTCGTTTAGTGTTAAAATCAAATGTTTTTAACCTTAATAACTCCTTAGCTAAATATTAGGGACTTAGCAGGTTTACATACTATATTAACTTATTTGGACATGGATATGGCAGAGTATCAATTTAGTATTTTTAATTAATTATTTGCTTTATTATTGATAATTATGAACATGTTACTCATTAAATCACTACATAGTATAAAATAAAGCCTGTCTTTCTGTCTGTACTTATATAATTAGGCTAAAAACTTAAAAACTACGAAACGGATATTGATTTGATTTTTTCCGATACTTACAGAATGCATCGGGGAAAAAAAATTGTGGCTTTGGTTTCTGAGGCTTATGAAAGTGTGGCTGAAACAGCTGGAAATGTAGCTCCGAAGTCTGATTATAATTCAAATAAAGTAATACACGTTTTAGAAGACATTCAGTTACAATGTGCCGAATCAAGACAGTTTATACCAGAAAATTCAGATTTAGTTACCAACAAAACTTATTATGAGATAAATGATGACATCAATATAGGTTCACTGACTAGTCTTGATCTACCAAGTACTTTTATTACAGAAAATATAGACGATACTATTTGTCCTGACATGACATTTCCCAATACTACATTCTGTGACTTGTCTTCAGTCAAAATTTTGTCGGGTTATGATGCTCACAATACTTACATCACGGACCAGGATTTGATTATAGTACCATCACAAAGTGAAATAGAATTACAAGCAACACAGATTTTGATCCCAGATATTATAAGCAGTTCCGATACGCATACCATTCAAACATTAGGTAAAACAATATCTCATGAATCAAGTACCAGTACTATAGAAAGTATACCTCATGTTGAAAATACACATCATAACGTCGTACCTAATCCACCGATATCGGATTGTAGTGATACAGAGAACAAGCTTGTGCCTTATTCTGATACTGACTCAGATTCGCTTGCTAAAATTAAAAAGAGTAAGAAACGAAAGAAGCGTTTTAAAGTTGATAAAAAAGAATGGGTTGCTGAAAAGAATAAACAAAGAAGACAAGAAGGTAAAACATATTTTGGAGAGAGAGAAAACAAGACTGTTGGAATTATAATAAACCCAAAGAAGCACGGTCCATGAAATCAAGATGTTCTTGTAAAATTGGGAAGTACAGTACTTTGAAATGTGAAACAATAGACGAAGATGTAAGAAGAAGCATTTTTAATAAATTTTGGAGTCTTAGTTGGGGCGAAAAAAAACCCTTGTTAACGAATGGGTAACAACTATTCCGATTGTCCGGCCACGAAACCGAAACTCTGAAGGCACAACCAAAAGGGCTAACACCTTTATTTATCATTTAAAAGTAAATGATCAAAGTGTCAAAGTATGTCGAAAAATGTTTTTGAACACTTTGGATTTAGGAAGATGGACGGTTCAAAATTGGAAGAAGGAGTTTCCAATTCGACCTCCTAGTATGCTGAGACGTTCCACACAATCATCTGAAACTGCGTCGGAGCCGAAAGAATCCCTTATTCAGTTTTTGGAGTCTCTTCCTGTAATGGAATCTCATTATTGTCGAGCGACGTCACAGAAGTTGTATTTATTGCCAGAATGGAGTTCTAAAGAAAGCCTCTACCAATTTTACGTTAACGATTGGTGCAAAGAGCGAAATATGAAAGCTCTCTCCATCAGTTTGTTTTCGAATTTATTTGAAGATAAAAATTTGGCCCTATTTAAGCCGAAAAAAGATCAATGCGAAAAATGCGCCAGTTATAAAGTAGGAACAGTAACAGAAAAAGAATACAAAGAACATATTGAGCGAAGTAAACCAGCAAGAGAAGAAAATGCGGATAAGAAGGGAGAAAATTACGTTTTCACAGTGGACTTACAGGCTGTACTAATGGCCAAAATCGAATGTTAGTACGTTATACTATAAAACGAAGTTGCAAGTTCACAACCTTTGCTTTTTTAATATAAAAAATAAAGATGGCTACTGTTTCATATGGAACGAAGTAGAAGGTGGACTTAATGCTGAAGAATTTGCCTCCATTTGGGTTGACTTTTTAGAAAATAAAATAATACGTCCTGTAATTAATGCTGACGATGGGAATAAAACAATTATAATTTACAGTGATGGTTGCACTTATCAGAACAGAAACTGTATTTTATCTAACGCTCTTTTGAATATTGTCATGAGGCACAAGAATATTACTATCGAACAAAAATTTTTAGAAGTGGGTCATACCCAAATGGAGGCCGATTCTATGCATTCCACTATAGAACGTCACCTAAAGAACAAAGTCATAAATGTGCCCGCTGAATATATCTATTGTTAAGCATGCTCGTAAATGCCCAGCACCCTATTGCGTGACATATTTGGACCACACTTACTTCAAAAAATTCGACAAAATTCAGTTTTATAAAAGTATTCGCCCAGGAAGATCGAAAGGGGACCTTAAGGTGACTGATATTCGTGCACTACGTTACGAAAGCAATGGATCTATATTTTATAAAACTTGCCTTAAGGATGAATGGCAAAGTTTACCACAAAGGCGATCTCTGCAATGTAATCCTTGCGAGATTACTGAACTATCTCAATTGCACCGGAGCCGACGTAAAATTACTGCAAGGAAATTTGAAGACTTGCAGCAAATAAAAAAGACCCTTCCTTGCGACTACCATAAATATTATGACGATTTGCCTCATGAGTAGAATAAAAGTTTAAGTTTAAATACACTTTTCGTTATTATTACTGATTCTAAGACTGATTCTTAATTATGGTTAATTATAGATTTTGATAACAAATATTTTGATAACTGATTGTATTGTTTCATTGCATTTACTGATTCTAAGACTGATTTTTAATTAATGTTAATTATAGATTTCAACAATAAATATTTTGATTACTGATTGAGTTCTTTTCATTGCATAATTAATCTATACACCTTACTAGATAAAAAGTCAAAAACTGCTAACTCCTTAAGCAAATTGAAATTTTACCTCGAAAAACTGCTAAATAATTGTTTTTTTGATTTTTATAAAATGTGTATAAGTTTTGCAATTTATTATATTGTTAAAATATCAAGAAAAATTATAGGAACCAATTGGATCTTCAGAATTTTGATTGCTAAATTAATAGAGATTTTATTCAGTTTTTTCTTTGTCCTGTAAACTATGTCAAAATAGACTTAGCAGGTTAACAAATTAGGCCGACGAGATGCTAATTACGTAGGCACTTTATTTAAGTATGCGCTTGAGACTTGATATATTATTTAAGACAAATAATATTCATTCAGCTAATTTCTAGAGGTATTAAAGATTTCACGGATCAGGATTCTAACTATAGACCCATTAGGGAAATGAAATAATTACCACATGTAAGTACCGTAAAACGGGGACAAAACAAAATCAGACTCAAGTTCAACAGCACACAGTGTGTATTTGCACTAATTTTTGGACACACCTCTTTTCTTCTAAAGTATATGGATTAAAAAAAGTTCCGCCAGGACAACGTTCGCCCAGCGAAATCAGTTTTTGGTGAATTTCTCCACAATGGCTGCATACACAAATTTTGTTTTACCATACACAATTATAGGACGTCATACACTAATTATCTGCATAATTAAAATCTTTAAATTCAACAACATTCCGCTGCGCGAACGCACACCTAATAATACTAGAGTAAAAAATAAATAGGTACTTAAAATATACAATTACTTATTGGATTGTTCTTGTTTTAGATGCCACGAAATAGAATAAAAAAAAAGACGGACCGTGGGTCAAGAGACACATTATTGTATGAACAGGCATATGATGAAATTTTAAAAGGGCGTAGCATACGCGCCGCTGCAACTATGTTTAACGTTTGCCATGTTTCTCTGATACGTTACAAACGTAAAAGAGAGGCTAATCCGGACGACTTTATTACTATGGGGTATAATCCAACAACAAAAGTATTTACCGAAGAGCAAGAACAAAGCATAGCAAAATATTTAGTGAGAACAGCAGATATTTATTATGGTTTAACGCCAAAAGAAGTAAGACGCTTGGCACTTGATTTGGCTATTAAATTTGATTTGAAAAGACCACAATCCTGAGATCAAAACGGAATGGCAGGGCCTGATTGGTTTTCATCTTTTATGAAAAGATACTCGGAACTTTCGATAAGGTGTGCTCAAGCTACTAGCCTTGCTCGTGCAACGAGTTTTAATAAGACAAATGTCGACGCATTTTTTGATAACCTAGCCAAAGTAATGAATCGCTATCATTTTGAAGCTAAAGACATATACAACATGGACGAGGCTGGCATTACGACCGTCCAAAAGCCGAATCGCATTATTGCCAGGAGAGGACAAAGGCAAGTAGGAGCATTGACGTCAGCGGAGCGTGGTACTCTTGTTACTGTGGCTATGGCTGCTAATGCCGTTGGTAATGCTCTGCCTCCGATGTTCGTGTTTCCACGCCAGAGATACCAAGATCATTTCATCAGAGATGGTCCAATGGGTTGCGTAGGTGCTGGTAATGCGTCAGGTTGGATGGAAGCGACTCAATTCCTAAAGTTTTTGAAACATTTCCAGAGTGTCTCTTGATAACAAAGTGCTGTTACTTCTTCATAACCATCCATCGCATATAACAATAGAAGCTTTAGGCTCCTTTCATTTTGCAGCGTGTCGCCGGTCGCGTGCAGACGCGACCAGCGCAATTTGTTTGAAACCTATGGTGGGTTTCACAGTAGCGCGTCCGGCCGGTCGCGTGTTTCGAAACGCCCGACCGGCGCAAAAGCTTGACTGGCGCCCGCGCGCCCCGCGTCTGCCGGTCGGCGCGCGGGCCAGTGCTGCTATGTATGCTTTCACTGTCGGACGTGCGCGTGAGCGCTTTGCGTACAATCATGGCGGCAATCGATACAGAATATTTAATAAGAGAAGTTCAGAAAAGGCGTGCACTTTGGGACTTACGATATCCATTGTATAAAGACAGGGATGTCAAACAAAGTTGTTGGGTGGAAATAATGAAGCAGTTATTTGAAAACGTTGACGACTGGACGCAGACAGAAAAAGAAAAAACACGTGAGTACAAAACTTTGTTATTTATTTCCTATATACTATGTAATACAATAGTCCTGCCAATCAACTTTACCTTCTTCTGAAATGAAATAATGTGCATAGTGATCACGAACTTCATTTCCAATTGAGTTGTTCACTATTGAATTATTTGAGTCTGCAAGCCCTTGGATTACCAAAGTATCTTGATGTTGGTAACCATCTTTTACTCGAATGAAATTATGTAATACACAACAACATTTTACGATGTCAATTGCGAGGTCTGTGTTCACATTAAGAGGTCTATGAAAAATTCGGAACTTATTAGTTAATATTCCAAAAGTGGATTTGATCATCCGTCTTGCACGACAGTGACGATAGTTAAAGATTTTCTTCTTATAATTAAGATTTTTTCTTGCATAAGGCCTCAAAACATTACGTGTAATTCCAAATGCTTCATCACCGAGTATCACATACGGAACCGGAGTTCTCATTCCAGGAAGCGCTTTAGGTGAAGGTAGATTGATGATACCATTCTCAATTTTTTTCAAAAGTGACGATTCTCTAAATATCCCTGCATCAGAATTTTTTCCCGGTGCTCCCACATTTATATATTGGAACTTATAGTTTGCATCACACATTGCTAGTAAAACAATTGAAAAATACCCCTTGAAATTAAAATTAAGTGAAGCAGTGTGTTGTGGCATTATCATGCGTATGTGTTTGCCGTCCAAGGCTCCAACGCATTGTGGAAAATTTGTATTCTTCTCAAAGTCTGTAGCAACTTCAACCCATTCATTAGATTCATTCGGGAGCTTTAAGAATTCGTTTTTTAAAGAAATCCAAATAGCTTGACATACTTCTTTCACTATTCCGCTGATAGTAGAAATCCCCATACGATAAGAGTAATGTAAATCAGTAAATGTATTTCCAGATGCAAGGTATCTGTAACAGAATAATTTAAATTGTTTCAGTAAGGAGTTTACATCAGAGGTGGAAAAGCGCGAGAGATCAATCAATCAAGTCAGGTTCTGGAGCTAACCCTAAAAGAAAATATGTTTTTGCTGACTGTATGTCTTTTTTAGATTCTGTAACGGATTT